AGGCTGAGGCAGGAGAATCACATGAACCCAGGAGGCAGAGGTTGCAGTGAGCCGAGAACGCGCCATTGCACTCCAGCGTGGGCAACAAGAACAAAACTTTGTCCCAAACAGTCAAACAAAACAGTATCAGTCTGAATTTTTAATTCTCCGGAATAACAAAGCTTAAAGCAAAAGAAAATATTGCACCTCTCCTCCTCCAAAGGAAAATCAACAGGGTTCAATGTATCCCCAAAGTTTCTACAGATCCAACATCACAACCTTAACCTAACACTCCTACTGATTGTCTCAAAACCTTTAAGAATCAAAGAATTGTTTCAAATAAGCCTTTCCCAATGAAAAGCCAAATATAAAGTACTGACATAGATTTATAACATGAGCCAGTCATAAATCTTCATAATATTAAGATTCTAGGGCTGATCCTGTCATCAATTTACTTAAAAATAACTGATAGTGGCTGGGCGCAGTGGCACCTGCCTGTAATCCCAGCACTTTGGGAGGCCAAGGTGGGCAGAGCACAAGGTCAAGAGATCAAGACCATCCTGGCCAACACAGTAAAACCCCGTCTCTACTAAAATATAAAAATTAGCTGGGTGTGGTGGCATGCACCTGTAGTCCCAGCTACTCGGGAGGCTGAGGCAGGAGAACTGCTTGAAGTCAGTGGGGCAGAGGTTGCAGTGAGCCAAGATCGCGCCACTGCACTCCAGCCTGGTGCCTGGCGAAAAAGCGAGACTGTCTCAAAAAAAATAAATAAATAACTGATAGTACATATGAAACACTGCTTTCAATCATAGCCAGACATTTTTCCAGACTACCCAAAGAACAGGCAGATAAAGAAGAACACAAAAGAAACAGTGCAAACTTCTGTAAAAAGTCTCACAAAAAGAAAGAGCTTTTTGCAGTGAGGGAGGAAAAACTGTTTCCACCCTTACTCCAAAGGGTGGAAAAAATGTTGGGTACTATGTTCAGCACCAGAGTGATGGGATCATTCATATCCTAAACCCCAGCATCACACAATATACCCAGGAACAAACCTACACATGTACTGCGTGAATCTAAAATAAAAGTTGAAAAAAATAAAAGAAATAAGCAGCCTGGCCAACATGGTGAAACCTCATCTCTACCAAAAATACAAAAATTAGCCAGGTGTGATGGAGGGTGCCTGTAGTCCCAGCTACTTGGAAGGCTGAGGCAGGAGAATCGCCTGAACCCAGGAGAATGAAGTGAGCTGAGATCACGCCCCTGCATTCCAGCCTGGGCAACTCCGTCTCAAAAAACAAAAAACAAAACAAAAAAAAAACAAAAGAAAAGAAACAAGGTGGGGCACAGTGGATTACACCTGTAATCCTAACACAGAGGCTGAGGTGAGGGATTATTTGAGCCCAGGGGTTCAAGATCAGCCTGGGCAACACAGTGAGGCCCCTTTTGCTCTCATCCATGCTGGAGTGCAGTGGCTCAACGCAGCCTGGACCTTGTGGGTTCAAGTGATCCTCCTACCTCAACCTCACTAGTAGCTGGGACCACAGCCCTGTACCACCACACATGGCCAATTTCTATATTTTGCCCAACCTGGTCTCAAGCTGCTGGGCTCAAGTGATCCACCCACCTCAGCCTCCCAAAGTGCTGGGATTACAGGCCGGGGCCAGCACACCTGGCCGGAAACAGCTTTTTAAACAATTCCACACCTGTAGGTCAAAAACTTAACGAAACCAGCCTGGCCAACCTGTTGAAGCTCCATCTCTACTTAAAATACAAACTCCAGCCTGGGTAACAGATCGAGACTCCATCTCAAAATAAATAAATAGATAAACTTAACAAGGGCAGGGACCAAATCAGAAAATGCTGCGTACTCCATAGTTTTCCATTTTTTTTTTTTTTTGAGGCGGAGTCTCGCTCTGTCACAAGGGTGGAGTGCAGGGCGTGTGATCTCTGCTCACTGCAACCTCTGCCTCCCAAGTTCAAGTGATTCTCCTGCCTTGATCTCTTGACCTCATGATCTGCCCACCTCGGCCTCCCAAAGTGCTCAGATTACAGGCGTAAGCCGCCTCACCTGGCCTCTCCTTTCTACATTCTGTGTTCTCATCTTATTTCATAACTTAAATACTGTTTAATACTCTAAAAAATACAAATGTCAAAGCAAGTAAAGTGTGCTACCATTTCTGCAAATTGGGGACAATATTCACTTGTATGTGCACAAATTTTTTTTCAAAGGATATCTAAGAAAGAGCTAACAATGTTTGATTCCAAGGAAAGCCGGATGACAAGGGTACAAGAAGTGGAGGGAGATGATCAGTCTATTCCCCATGGATCATTTTATATTTTGGTTTTCTGTTTGTTTTAGAGACAGAGTCTCACTCTGTCACTCAGGCTGGAGTGCAGTGGTGCAATCACAGATCACTGCAGCCTCCAATCTGGTCATCTGGCCTAGCTTCTCAATAGTCAGTACTACAGGTGTGCACTACCGCGCCTGGCTGTTTTTTAAAATTATTTTTTGTAGACACGGGGTCTCACCATGTCTCCAAGACTAACATTTTAAATTGTGAACCACGTGAATACAGTTTTTCTTCAAAACATAAGTATAGTATACCAATAAATAAATGCTGACGACTCTCCATATCCATCTTTCTCTCCTCACTAGAACTTAAGTTCCATGAAGCCAGAGATTTAACTACTATATCCACACATCTGGTCTAAAGCTGGTGCTTGAGAAGCCCTCGTTGAATGAATAAATCACTCCTTAACTTCTCACTAAGTTCCACACTTACTTCCAATCACCTACTCCTCGCCTCCACTGGAACAACTAGATCCAATTTAACCAGTCCAATCCAACTCCAACCCATACAACAGCCTGACCCTGCCAATTCCTGCCGCCTCTTCCTCTTCTCGGTACACAGCATCATCACCCTCCAGCAGAAGCCAAAAACCCAGGAGTGACCCCTGTCCCAACTGCATGCTCATCCAAAACATCACAATTTCAGTAAGTATCTTCAACTCCAAAACACATCTCAAAACATTTTCACTGGTCTCCTTGTGTCTCTTTTCCAAACGGCAGTCTGATTCTCAATCAGACCTTACCACTCCCAGTTTAGAAGAGTTCCAAAAGCCTTTTAAAGCCTCAGAAGAACAAAAGCCAACGTGATCCAGCCACTGGTGAGGATCCACCCTTAATCTCTCTTTTTTTTTTTTTATTTTAAAAAAGAGAGCAAAGTCTACTTTTGCAGTCTGGGTTAAGAGACCGGGGAGAGCGCGAACACAGTCCACCTTAAGCCACTTTCAGTTTGTAGGATCCCAGCTTGACAGCACCTCAAGGCTTCTGCATTTGCTCCTCCCTAAAATAGAAACTTTTCCCTCAGAATTTCAAACTTTACCTTGGGAAGGTCTTTTCAGATTACAGTATCTGAAGTAATCCCCCAGCCACTACCACAACTCCTTACCTTATTTCCTACACAGCACTTATTCTCTGAGGTTATCAGTTTACTGTCTGTCTCTCCATCCCAAGCCAGAATTGATACCCCGAGAGGATCAATTTAATGTGAAATTTAATGTGTCTTGTTTACCCTTGTACCCTTAATGCCTGCAGCACTGCTTGGCAAATAAACCAGGTGCTTAATATTTGTCAACTGACAGATAAGGCAAAAATGACTTTAAAGAAAGCCCACAACATTTAATCTACTGACAAACTGGTGAGGATAAAAGACATGGATAATCTTCATATTTATAGAGCACAGAAAGCCACCAAAGAGGATGGAGAATGAAGAGTATTTCAGAGGCAGAACAACCAAATACTCAAAAGACAACTGGAAAGGAATTTTTCCCAGGCTATGTGAATGCACATTGTAGAAATGTTCCAACTCATAAACAGCAACTAAAAAAAAAAAAAATTCATAACACTATGGGCTGGGCGCAGTGGCTCAGGCCTGTAATCCCAACACTTTGGGAGGCCAAAGCAGGTGGATCACCTGACGTCAGGAGTTCGAGACCAGCCTGGCCAACATGGTGTAAACCCCATCTCTACTAAAAATACAGAATTAGCCGGGTGTGGTGGCACATGCCAGTAATGCCAGCTACTTGGAAGTCTGAGGCAGGTGAATTGCTTAAACCCGGGAGGCGAATCACACACCACTGCACTCCAGCCTGGGTGACAAGAGTGAAACTCCATCTTGAAACAAAAAAAATAATATGTACTTCTGTTATCTCACGTAACTCTTTTGGAAAGATCTTCCAGATACTGCATACGGTCAAAAGAAGCAAAGTATAGCTAATCTGTTCGTGTGTCTGTCTTGAAAAGGAATGTACAATTCTAAAGGGCAGACAACAGTATTTTGAATGTTTTTAAGTGATTATTATGCAGTCAGTTGTCAATCCGATCAAAGTGATTATTTCCCATACTTTACTACGAAGATAGGCTTGGGACAAGTCTAGTTCAAAGACGTTTATACTGAACAGTCACAATCTACAGTGAATGTTAATAGTATGTATCTTCAAAATTTAAAAGCCCAGAGTACTGGCCTTCAACTAGCAATATTTTAATCCATGGGGCAAAGGTGTGGTCTTAACATTAATAACAGCCTACAATTCACATATGTTTTATTTGCATGCACGTAACGGTAGGGAATGGTCCAGACTCCCTAGAGGGTAAGCAAGTGCTAGAAAGCGTGTGAGGATCTTATTTCACCAGACCCTAAGTGTTGAGACAAGAGGTCTAGCATGCACGTATGATACTCCACCCCAAAGCTATCAATCTTTGCAGTCTGCGGAAACAAAAGTGAAAATACTCGTGGTAAGGATGCATGAGATTGATGCGCCCCCCCTCCCCCCCCACACACACACAAACACACAGAGTTGTGTATTCGTGTGAGCACGCAAATATGCAGAAGAGTACACGCACTCTCACCTTCCCTCCTTCGGAGGAAAATGGGGCCGAGGGAGAGGCGGCCAAGATCGGGTTGGGGAGGCCTGGGATGCAGTCCAGGGGGTGGCAGGGCTCAGGGGTCAGCGCTCTGGGGAGCCGAGGTCACTTACAGGACACCATCTTCCCGGGCCTCCCCCTTTCATCCCTCTCCCCCGACCTCGTCGCCCCTAACTCCTCTCCTCCGCCCCAGCCCCGCCACCCATTAACCGGGAAGGGAAGTTTCCCGGCGCCTGCAGCCCGGCTCCCCGACCCTCAGCGGGGTTACCTTCTGCAGAAGCGGGGCAAGGGGCAGGGGGACAAGGGGAGGGGGAGGCAGCCCGAAGGAGTGAAGGACGAAGCCCCGGCGAGGAAGGTGGGCGGAGGCGGCGGCGGCGGCTGTCAGCTCGCGTTCCCCCGCTCACAGCGCAGCCATTACTGTGCGCCGAGGCCGCCTCCCCGGCCGGCCGCCGCCACCTACCCCGGAGACGCGGGGGGTGGGGAGCGAAGCCCGGGGAGCCCGCGCGCCGACACTCACCTGTCTCCGCGAGGAAACCCAGCGAAGTCCAAGGCCGCCGCCGCTCCCCGGCGGGGCAGGGGCGGTAGGGAGGGGGGGAAGGGGAGACGGCCGGGCCGATCACGGGATCCGTAAAACAGTCGTCTTCCTCGGCACCCGGCTTTGCTCAACACACACCCTCCGGTCTCCTCCTTCCGCTGCTGCCAAACTCCCCCTCGGAAAGCAATGGTAGAGGCCGCGTTACGGCAAGCGCAGGGAGCCAAGCTTCGTGCGATTGCAAAAGGCCACGGAAATTAATATTCCGGGGATTCCTTGCTGGGCTTGCTGTCAATGAGGCAATTGCGGTTCGCTGAGCGGATGGACACAGTACCCTCCCACTCTCCGTTAGTCCAGGGACTGCTAATAATAATGTTGGAATGGTACTTTCATCAGAAGTATGTTTTCCTTGTTTCAGACCTATGTGAATATCCTAAGACAGCACAATCCTCTTGCCACACACTGCCATGCGCTTTGCAAATGATCAAAAATATATTAGCAAAACTACTTTGTCTCTCTGACAAACTCCTTGTCTAGTGGGTTTTTATCTACAGAGCAAGTCTTGGACTTACATGTATTTTCAATAAAGAAACTTCACATCTTTGTCACTAGCACCTCACCTTCACCAAGCTCCAAGCATATCAGCTTGAAGGGTTTTCCTCCCTTGGAGTTTTTCTTCTTTCTTTTTTTCCTCTAACATGGATCATAGGAAACAACCTCCCTTGGAGTTTTAAACAGTAAAGTTGACAAAAATGTAGAATTACTCATCACCTCCTCATATATGCAAGGCCACAGAGGAACAAAAGCCTGGCTTTAGTGCTTTTTGCCTTTCATATCTTCAAGAGCTCACGATCAGGGTCTTGTTCATTTGTAGGATTCAGCAAGCTTTTCCCTCCCACCTCTTCCTTCTAAACTGCGCCAACCCTTCAAGGCCTGTTTAAAACCCTGTCTCCTGACCTGATCAATCCCTAGAGTCTTCTAATCTGCTCCTCATGGTATATGAGGTCTATATTCTTTATTTCAGTAAAGAGTTTTTATATACTAAATTCAATTCAACAGTATTTTTCCATTATGTGACCTTTTTTCCACCCATGTTTTCCCCCTTTTATCTAGTGATTCTCAAAGTGCGGTCCCCAGACCCCTGGATATTATCCCTGAGGCCTTTACAGAGGCCACAAGGTTAACAACTACTTTGTCAACAATGCAACATTTCTTGTCCTTTTTTTTTTTTTTTTTTTTTTTTTTTTTTTTTTTTGGATACAGAGTCTTGCTCTGTCACCCGGGCTGGAGTGCAGTGGTGGCACAATCTCAGCTCACTGCAACTCCACCTCCCAAGTTCAAGCCATTCTCCTGCTTCAGTCTCCTGAGTAGCTGGGATTACAGGTGCCTGCTACCACCCCAGCTAATGTTTTGTATTTTTTAGAGACGGGGTTTCACCATGTCACCATGTTGTCCAGGCTGGTGGTCTTGAACTCCTGAGCTCAGGCAGTCCACCCACCTCGGCTTCCCAAAGTGCTAGGATTACAGGTGTGAGCCACTGTGCCAGGCCCACCCTCCCCACCGCTCCCTTTTTTTTTCACACAGGGTATCCCTCCGTCCTTGAGGCTGTAGTACAGTGGCCCGATCATAGCTCACTGTGGCCTCAAACTCCTGGGCTCAAGCGAGTGTCCCATCTCAGTTTCCCAAGAAACTGGGACTACAGGCGCATGTGCCACCACATGTGGCTAATTTTTGTATTTTTGGTAGAGAGGGATCTTACTATGTTGCCCAGGCTGCTCTGAAACTCCTGAGCTCAAGTGATCCACCCATCTCAGCCTCCCAAAAGTTGTGGGATTACAGGACTGAGCCACCAAGCCTGGCCTCCTCTATCTTTTTGACTGGGAATTTGTACTGATGGTACAAAGGAATAGAAACATTATTGATGCCTTAGCGGGAATCAAGACAGTGTCACCATCCTGTCCAGGTGGCCTTTGGATCACTGTATTCTTCACTGCCACACATTCCCAGGTTTTAAGACTGTTGATTTAGGAATATCATGGGTGAAATAGAAGCATTAATTTTATTAAATTTTGACCCTTGTATACAAGTCTTTCTAATATTCTGTGTGAAGAAATGGGAAGTACACATGCGTTTCTGCATGCCAAAGCGCAATGGCTGTCTTGGAGAAAAGCACTTGTGTGGTTGACTTACAGGCTGAGCTACCTGCATTTTCATGGTGAAACTGCCGTTGCAAAATAAGATAGTAAGAGAAATCTGACCTCATTGATTTAATCTTGCTTCTGACCTCCAATGTATTCCTGGTCATTCCTAGGCATAGGTCAAGTTCATTTGGGGAGGAAGTTAGTTTATGGTTTAACTTGAAAGCTAAGTTCCTCCCCCAAACTATCCCCTCCTGGTTTAGGGATGAAAAACCAACTTTGGAAGACTAATGAAAGGCAGCAAGAATAGGATTATGGGAGGGGTGTGAACTTTCCTAAAGTATAGGCATATTTCTTTTTTTTATTTATTTTTTATTTATTTTTATTTTTTTATTTTTTTTATTTTTTTTGAGATGGAGTTTCACTCATGTTACCCAGGCTGGAGTGCAATGGCGCGATCTCGGCTCACCGCAACCTCCGCCTCCTGGGTTCAGGCAATTCTCCTGCCTCAGCCTCCTGAGTAGCTGGGATTACAGGCATGCACCACCATGCCCAGCTAATTTTTGTATTTTTAGTACAGACGGGGTTTCACCATGTTGGCCAGGATGGTCTCGATCTCTTGACCTCGTGATCCACCCGCCTCAGCCTCCCAAAGTGCTGGGATTACAGGCTTGAGCCACCGCGCCCAGCCAGGCATATTTCTATTAATATACTCCCTTCCTGCTCAGGGGTCATGTGGCCAGAGGTCACAAGATTTGTGACTTCCCCAGTTGCTCCTATAAATAACATCAGTACTGTACAACTGAAGATTGCTTTTTGAGATATTTTTCAGACTGACCCCACCTGGACTCATGACTTATGACTCAGAACTGGTCCTATGGCCCCACCCAGAGGCATGCCTAGCACTCAAGGACTGTTTTCCACACCCCTGTGATTCCATCCCCAACCCATCAGCAGAACCCATTCTCTAGCCCCCTGCTTACCAAATTGTCCATAAAAACCCTAACATCCAACCCAGGGGGAGACTGATTTGAATAATAACACTAGTTCTCCTACATGGTTGGCCTCAGGTCAATTAAACTCTTTCTCTACTGCAATATCTCGGTCTCAGTGAATTTTGTTTGTACAGTAGGCAAGAGGAACTCATCTGGTCATTACAATGGAAGGCCATTTTTACTTGAAAGAACAATTGACAGACTTGGTGGCTCATGCCTATAATCCCAGCACTTTGGGAGGCTGAGGTGGGCAGATCTCTTGAGTCCAGAAGTTTGAGACCAGCCTGGACAATATAGTGAAACCCCATCTCTACAAAAAATACAAAATTTAGCCAACCATGGTGGTGTGTGCCTGTAGTCACAGCTACTTGGGAGGCTGAAGTGGAAGAACTGCTTAAACCCAGGAGGCAGATGTTGCAATGAGCCAAGATCACGCCACTGCACCCAGCTGGGGCAATAGAGGCAGACCTTGTCTCAAAAAAAAAAAAAAAAAAGAAAGAAAAAGAAAAGAAATTACCACTTGTTGAATTTCACTATAGTATCAAAGAAGAATATCCATAATTATCCAAAAAGACTATTTAAATTTTCTTTCAAAGGCCTGCGTCTCTTCATATACTTCAACCGTAGAGAACCTCACTATATCCTATTAAGTCAAATATTTAGAGATTTGCAAAAATACAAAAGCAGTCCTTTTCTTCTCATCAAATTTTTTTTAGAAAATATGATTATTTTCATAAAAACATGCAATTTATGTTAAAACGTGTTTGGTTTATTATTTTAAAAATCAATAACTTTTTAAAAATTTTATCTTTTAAATTTCTAATACAATAATTATTTATAGATAGATAGTTTCCTGAGGCCTCCCTAGACACTGAGCAGATGCCAGGATCATGCTTCCTGCACAGCCTGCAGAACCATGAGACAATTAAACCTCTTTATTTAATTGATTACCCAGTCTCAGGTATTTCATTATAACAGTGTGAGAATGGCTTAGTACAATAGATATAACCCACATGAACATAAGTTCTTCAAAGTCCTCAATAATTTTTTTTTTTGAGATGGAGTTTTGCTTTTATTGCCCAAGGCTGGAGTCCGACAGTATGATCTCAGCTCACCACAACCTCCACCTCCCGGGTTCAAGCAATTCTCCTGCCTCAGCCTCCTGAGTAGCTGGGATTATAGGCATACGCCAATATACCACCCTGCCCAGCTAATTTTATATTTTTAGTAGAGGCAGGGTTTTACCACGCTGATCTCAAACTCCTGACCTCACATTCTGCCTGCCTTGGCTTCCGAAAGCGCTGGGATTACAGGCGGGAGCCACTGCACCCAGCCAGAATAATTTTTAAGAGTGTAAAGAGGCTGGGTGTGGTGGCTCCCGCCTGTAATCCCAGCACTTTGGGAGGCTGAAGCGGGCAGATCACCTGAGGTCAGCAATTCCACACCAGCCTGGCTAACATGGTGAAAGCCTGTCTCTACTAGAAATACGGAAATTAGCCAGGTCTGACAGCGAGTGACTGTAATACCAGCTACTTGAGAGGCAGGAGAATTCCTTGAACCCGGGAGGCGGGGTGTCCGTGAGCTGAGATC